AAACAAGCCTGGCTGCCATATTTTGAACTAACTGAAGCTTCCGAACCAAACACATGGGTAACCCCATGTAGAGCGCATTACAGAAGTCGAGGCGTGAGGTTACCAGTGCGTGCACAACGGTCTCAAGATCCCTTACTTCCAGAAACGGGCGCAGCTGGCGTATCAGCTGAAGCTGATAACAGGCACTCCTGACTGTCGCATTCACCTGATTCGTCATCAGGAGTGACGAGTCAAGGAGCACCCCCAGACTGCGAACACAGTCACTGGAGGAGAGTGCGACCCCATCCATGACTGGAGGTTGCAACCCAATTCTTGGTTTCGGGGCCGCTACCGTGAGCACCTCCATCTTGTCTGGATTCAGTTTCAATCTGTTTTTCCTCATCCAGCCCATTACCGCCCGAAGACATTCATTGAGAGAAGAGATGCCATTGGAATTCGAGGCCGACGAACGAGACACGGAGAAATAGATTTGGGTGTCATCAGCGTACTGATAACACCCAGCACCATAACTCCGTATTATCTCACCCAGCGGCTTCATATAGATGTTAAATAACATAATATAAATATAAATATTTATAAATATAAATATAAAAATAAATATTCAGTAGCTGGTTCCTCCTGGGAGAAGTCTGGATTTTGCACCCCATCGTCCAATTACTCTGGATGTTACCTTTTCCTTCCCCCCTTTTTCCCCATGTGATAAACTCCCTAGTCTCTTTCTGTGGTTCAGGTTCCTCTTTCAGGCAGAGTCTCTCCTAGTAACACAGGATTGTATGTTTTAGCATGGAAGCCGCCCTGGTTGTGTTACACAGAGAGGCGGGATACAAATAAATTTTATTATTAGTAGTATAAGTATCAAGAGTCTGGCTGAGAAAATGACTTTGGATGACAGACAATGGAGAAATCAGGCCTGGGCAGACAGAGATTCTGGACTTTTCATCCACCTTTCGCCTTTGGGCTTTAACTAGGGTCCATTCACCACCTTCTGCTTTATAATTTTGTGTTTTCTGGTTGGGCTTCTTCCTAACCATTTTGGATCTCTCCTACCATGAAGGATACTGGGAGCTAGGAAAAGTTACTTTTCTGGACTACTGCTACCAGAGCTGCCAGTTAGTATTGCTAGTGCCCATATTAGTTGGAGGACTCTGGGAACTGTAGTCTTGAAGGGCCTTTGCAGACTGCCAGAAATAGTGCAAATTGAGTCCACTTTAACTGCCCTGACTCAGTGCTAGGGAATCATGGGAACTGTAGTTTATTGTGGCACCAGAGCTCTCTGACAGAGAAGGGTCAGTGTCCCAGAAAAAAATGCAACTGTTTCTTTATTTTCTGGAAACTCACTATGGAGCAGCAGCTGGTGGCTCACAGACCAGCACCGGATCAGGGACCACCACTTTGACTCCTTTAGACCAAAGACTGCAGCCTCCCAAGCAAATCCTATATAGGCCAATAGGACATATTCATACAATCATCGAGTTGGAAGAGCCCTCAAGGACCATCCAATCCAACCCCCTTCTGCCATGCAGGAATGCACAATCAAAGCATCCCCAACAGATGGCCATCCAGCCTCTGTTTAAAGTCCTCCAAAGAAGGAAACTCCACCACTCTCCGAAGGAGTGTCTTTCACTGTCAAACAGCGCTTACTGTCAGGAAGTTACTCCTAATGTTGAGCTGGAATCTCTTCTCCTGTAGCTTGCATCAGTTGTTCTGGGTCCTATTCTCTGGAGCAGCAGAAAACAAGCTTGCTCCCTCCTCAGTATGACACCCCAGCAAATACTTAAGCATGGCTATCATATCGCTTCTTAACCATCGCTTCTCCAGGCTAAACATCCCCAAATCCCTAGGGCTATTCCTTGGAACAGGGGTGAGTAACCCCTGGTCTTCCCAATGTTGAACTGAAGCTCCCATCATTCTTCTATACTGGACATCTAGCAGACCACAAGTTGTCCTAGAAAATCTGCATAGGAAGGATTTGAGTTTTCCACCAGGTCCTCCTGTTTGGTGTTAGTTCACCAGCTCTCGTTTTATTCCAGCCATCAGCACTACTGAAACCAGTTCTTTATATGGAAAGCCTCACAAACTGAGATCTCCTATAGGGCATAATATGTGAAATCATGTTCCCCAAACTGACACTCTTTAATTGCTCATTTTCTCGATAGCCATAGCAATCCTACCTTAGGCTAGTGTGTTGTTTTTAAATGTTATGTGTTATTATTACCCACATGCTTTAGCAGAGATTGGAAATGAGGATAAAAACTGAGAGATGAATTTATTATTATTTTCACATCCTCTCATCCTGCTTTTCCTTGGGATGGGCTTAAATGTATTGATTTTTTTTAAAAAAAAAATCCCCAGTAATAAAACTGCTTTGATGTGGTTTCCAGAACAAGGAGATGGACCCAAGCCATGTTGTTGCTGTGTGCTTTCAAGTTGTTTCTGACTTATGGTGACCCTGTTAACCCTATCATGGGGTTATCTTTGCAAGATTTGTTCAGAGGAGGTTTGTCATTGACTTCCCCTGAGGCTGAGAGTGTGTGACTTGCCCAAGGCCACCCAGTGGATGCCTTCCAACATTTCAGAGATGAAAACCAGGACACCAACTTTTCATCTTAGGTCCAAAACACACTGCAGAAATAATCCAGTTTGAGACCTCTTTAACTGCCCTGGCACACTGCTAGGCAATTCTGAGAACTGAAGCTTTGTAAGACATTAAATCCTTCTCTGCCAGAGAGCTCTGGTGCCACAGTAAATAACAATTCCCAGGATTCCCCAGCACTCAGCCAGGGCAGTTAAAGCAGTCTGAAACTGGATTATCTCTGCAGTGTGTTTTGGACCTTAGTAATACTTTTCTTACTTTTCTAGTAATATTCATCTCAGTAAACTTTTTAGTTGAATTTCTTCAACATAATTATAGATGTTGAAATGCCTCTATAGCCAAACAATATTTTTACCTACTATTTGGGGCAGGATGCCACTTTGCTGAAACATTGTTCACTCAGAAAACATATCCAGGGGTAGCTGTGCTGGCCATATAGCAAAGTCCAATAACATCCAAAATCCACAAAACAATGATGCCTTTATTTGGCCAACCAAAATGCACAATATACATGGTAGATGTTATTGGGTTGTTTATTCAGGTAACATTACCCCTAAAATGTGCTTACTCTTTTTGCCTTAAAATAGGATGTACTCAATGTGCAATAGTTATTATGATCTTGTTTTGAAGCTCAGGGTTTCCTTAAAAGTGTAGCAGTTTTTAAAGCAATAGCCATGTTTATCTGCAGCAAAATTAAAAAAAAGCATCAGTATGTCTGTCATGTGAATATTTTAGTTATAAAAGTACCACATAACTCTGAAAAACCTGGCATTAAGCAGACATCACATAAACTAAGCATCACATAAAAACAGAAATCAACATAAAGCATCACTGACTTGCAACAATTACTACGGAAGGTCAAAGATGAAAATGCAAAGGCAGGATGAATGCTGAACATAAAGAAAGCAAAAATAATGACCACAGAAGAAATGCATAAATTCAATTTAGGCAATGAGGAAACTGAAATACCGTA